TTTCTTGTGTGCATCTCTTCTGTCGTGTCTTATCGTGTCTTTTCTTGTATGCATCTCTTCCGTCGTGTCTCATCGTATCCTGTCTTGTATGCATCTCTTCCGTCGTGTCTCATCGTGTCTTGTCTTGTATGCATCTCTTCCGTCGTGTCTCATTGTGTCTTGTCTTGTATGCATCTGTTCCGTCGTGTCGCATTGTGTCTTGTATGCATCTCTTCCGTCGTGTCTCATCGTGTCTTGTCTTGTGTGCATCTCTTCCGTCGTGTCTCATTGTGTCTTGTCTTGTATGCATCTCTTCTGTCGTGTCTCATCGTGTCTTGTCTTTTGTGCATCTCTTCCGTCGTGTCTTGTCTTGTATGCATCTTTTCCGTCGTGTCTGATCGTGTCTCGTCTTGTGTGCATCTCTTCCGTCGTGTCTCATTGTGTCTTGTCTTGTATGCATCTCTTCTGTCGTGTCTCATTTTGTCTTGTTTGTCTTGTATGCATCTCTTCCGTCGTGTCTCATTGTGTCTTGTCTTGTATGCATCTCTTCCGTCGTGTCTCATCGTGTCTTGTCGTGTATGCATCTCTTCCGTCGTGTCTCATCGTGTCTTTTCTTGTGTGCATCTCTTCTGTCGTGTCTTATCGTGTCTTTTCTTGTATGCATCTCTTCCGTCGTGTCTCATCGTGTCTTGTCTTGTATGCATCTCTTCCGTCGTGTCTCATCGTGTCTTGTCTTGTGTGCATCTCTTCCGTCGTGTCTTGTCTTGTATGCATCTCTTCCGTCGTGTCTCATAGTGTCTTGTCTTGTATGCATCTCTTCCGTCGTGTCTCATTGCGTCTTGTATGCATCTCTTCCGTCATGTCTCATCGTGTCTTGTCTCCTCTCCCAACGCCATTAGACTATTGGGCATAAAGAGTTAGACATATATTTTATAGGCCAATCCACCCTCTGTGTGTGATGTGGTCAGCGTCATGCCGGCCGCCTTTAGTTCCCAGGACTCTGCCTGATACCCATTTAAGGCTGGGTCTCTGAGACCCAAGGTCATTTTTGAAAAAAAAAAAAAAGTCCAGCTCAGTTCGGATTCGAACCCACAACTCACGGATTCGCAGGCGAGCGTCCAGCCTCTACTTGTACAATTACAAACAAAACGTGAACGTTGTGGTTACGAAGCCCTTATCAGCACATCCAAATCAAACAGTACTACGCAAATACACAAAACCACTTAGCTGGTATCTCGAAGCAGCCGGGTCGGTGGTTTCTCTGCAGTCTTTTCTCAAACTGGATATTCTTGTATTTTTCGTTTAATCCCTTGTTTTAGCTTGTCAGTTTATGACTTGGACAATCTAGCATGGCCTTATCTTGTTTAATTTAAAAAAAAAAAAAAACGCACACACGTACACACACACTGTATCTCGTCTTCCCTCGTCGTTTCTTGTTTTGTTTCATGTTATCTCGCCTCTTGTGTATTCTCGTCTTATCCTCTGTTGCGCTAATCAGAGAGAGAGAAACAGACAGAGTGATAGGTAGATACGTATTTAGGTAGGTATATATATATATATATATATATATATATATATATATATATATATATATATATATATATATATATATATATATTTATATATATATTTATATATAGGTATATGCAAATGCAACAATAAATTGATGAATGAATAGACAGCAGATACAAGATACAAAGATGACCGGCTGACTTGACGAACGGACAGATGCAGAGGGGCTACATGTGTTAGCTGTCCCTCGTCAGCACCGATGACAGACACGAAAGCAGAACTGGTTGTTCCCTGGCTGATTCAATAGCTATTAATATCACATATTATGGATTGATAGTGGTGATCAGTTCACTTTCTCTGTATGGCTTCCTTTCCTAACTTGGAGCAAGCAGTTAGTTACCTTGTCGTTGACCGCCATACAAACAATGCTAAATAAACAAAGTCATGGCTTGCCTTGTTCGTACACTGGGGCCAGGCATTGGCCCCGTTTGCCGGGGATGACGGTACCCACACAAAGCACAGCTTCCAGCAGTTGACAACTGTCTGCTTCTGTCGTTTCCTTTTTACTTACAACTTACACCTGTCCTGTCTCACTCCTGTCCTGTCTCACTCCTGTCCTGTCTCACTCCTGTCTTGTCTTGTATTGAGAGCTGTCTGGGTTCCGGGACCCTTTTTCTAACGATGAAGATGATAGACCTCTGCCCCTCCCTCCTTTCCTCCTAACAAGCATGTTCTAAGATCTGACTAATCATGCATTTTTTAAAATCGGATGTGTTAGGCCCAATGGCGCCGATATCGCAGTCTAGCTGTAAACCATACCGCAACGTGCCAACCGTTCTTCTAAGGGCTAACGAAGAGGAGGAAGTTAAGGAGTAGTAGCCTTGTGAGCACCCACAGACACCACTTATTTATTTACTACCTCTCTTCTGTAGTGACCCCAGAGTTCCTGCCTCGTTCCTTTCCCCTTTGGTCAGGTCTGTACAGTTTCCTCTCCGATACACTTTCTACAGTATTGTCTCTTCTGCGCAGGGAATTTCTAATGAACAGTCAGTCTGTTGGGAAATCTTTCGTGTGATGCTTCTCGTAATTCGGAATTCATGTCTGACGCCAGTATAGGTCACTCTGGAAATTGGCATCCTGTCAGGGAGGAAGTTTTCCTTGACAGTAAACGTAGCGTAGGCATCCTCAGACTCATTCCAATTATGTAGTAGTAGTAGATTTTACCCCACCAGGACATCACAGAGGCGATGAAAACCCGATGACACGAAGTACCACCATGTGGATGAAGATCACTCGTGGAGAGGTCCCAGAAACCGCGTTCAGCCATTAGACCATATTTATGACCGGGCTATATTGCGGCCCCTGGCAAGACCCAGAGTAGGGCTTCAGAATAACGACAAATAACATCCCACAGGGGGTTGACGGTGAATGCATATTCCACTTATTTGAACCCATATAGGTTACATTCGCATTGACCATCCAGCGCCTTCTGTGTTCATTGTTATTTTTACTTTGTTTTTCTTTAGCTGCTGAATCTGTTCATTTAGAATTGATAATTCTTGTTCTTTCTAAAACACAGAGAAGAAAAATTGTTGGTTCCATATTTGAAGCCTCGGCACATTTTATACTAAAAAAACTGGGAGAGGTAGCCGAAAGGACCTCTAGCTGGCTTTGGACGCAACGCAACAACGTAGGGGACGGGCCTCGGTGAGCTGGTCCGGGTCTCTAGTGGAAAAGGGTTTCTCACCCTGTGAAAGTCCATCGTGTCCGAATTGTCTGCCAGTGTTCCTCTGACACCTGCTAACAAAAGTCCAACACGTGTCCGGTAAACCAAACGTAAGCTTGTCGCTCGGTCGTCCAGGCACGCTGACTGTTTTAATTAGGCTGCCGCAACGACTTCTTATCTCACAGTACCTTCTGCGAAACCACCAAGTCGTCTTGTCTCTATCCGAAAGAAAAACACCATCCGGTAATCTCGTGCAGCAGGGAACCAGCCCTGAGCTTCATGAACTCAGGTGGGCCCACCTCCGAAAGCGTCTAGGAATCGTGGGCCGAAACGCACGTTGACGAGGATAATTTCTACTGACGGCTGGTAGATCCCTGCTGTACATGCTCCCTGTGAGTTTATTCCTATACTCTGTTAGTAAATTCCTTCTACTTCGTCCTTTAGTTCAATTAATGCCCTTATTATATTTGGTAATGGGATCCCTTCAATCCTTCCACTTATTTCATTTGTTGGTACTTTCCCGTCTTTCCGTGTGTGTGTGTGTGTGTGTGTGTGTGTGTGTGTGTGTGTGAGAGAGAGAGAGAGAGAGAGAGAGAGAGAGAGAGAACGTGAACTTTTAGTAATTTCCCCTAGTCTCTGGGTAGTAATATCGGACGCCCGTGTGTATAGTTGCTCACTTAAAAAAATCCACTTGCAGTTGGAAATCGAAAAGAGTAGACCCAGCAAAATTTGGAGTTAAAAAATCTACCCAAAATATTTCAGGATCCTCGCTGGTGCTACGGATTTCGTGCAGTGCGCTGAGAGTCTTTGGACTCGGACTTAAGTTAGAAGTAGAACGGGGCACTTATGGGTTACTACCCTTGAGCTGTGATGTTGTTCCTTTGTTAAAGCTAAACCTAAACTTTGTATGATTAATGTTATATCTTAAAGCGTATCGAACAAGTACGCATCCTGGACACCCCACTCAACCATATAGCCGTATAGCAAGCACAGTTATTATACGGGCTCACCTCCTCCCCAAGGGGAATCCCGGAGTCCAATATTACAGGGGTGTCATCATCATCATTATCAATTTCCACTTCTGTCGTTAAGCGACGTGGGGAGGAACAGATTGCGATCCGTTGCTTGATGGACAGCAGGGGTGTGAAGGTTTATTATGAACACTGATTAACCCTAACACCCCTATAATATTGGACTTCCGGGGACCTCTGGGATTTCCCGAGTTTGGGGTGAAGACAGAATCATGAACCGAGAGATGCACTGTGGAAAAGAATTAGATCTCAGCACATAAGTTTCTCAGAAATCTGCAGTGGGTGCAGTGTAGGCAACCATCATTGGGTAGACGACACTGCGTTTCTTCAACCTTTTACCAAATCCGCAGAGGGAAACGGGTCGTTTACTTGTACATGACTGCCTGAGCCTGTGGTGATCAGAGCGTAGAGACCTAGACACAGAGAGGTGAAATCTTGCACAGAGTTCCCAGTTACGGCCCTTGTCCCTCGCTGATTTTTTTGCACTTATTTCCGGCGGCCACACGTGTCAGGAACTCTACTGGTTAGACCTTAAAGTGATTTCTATCAGAGATACTTCAGTTAAGTGACTGTATGTATTCTTGTCCGTATCTATGGTATTGAAGATTTATGTATGTGCCGATAAAGGTTGTCTGGTCGCATCGTTTACTTGTCGTCTTCCTTTGTGCTATTGTGAAACTTGCTATTCCACTTTTCGTTTGGTTTGAAATCTTTTGATGAACTCACAGAGAGTTGTTTTTTCTTCTCCACAGTGATGCGGCTGACTAAGCCGACCATCATGCCCCATCATCCTCTAGTCACCGAGTCACGTGACCTGTGCGGGGACCTCATCAGTCGACTCAACGACGCCGAGATCTCTCGGACCCCTGGACTGGGCGCCTTCCCTCTGGGCAACTTGCTCACTTTACCTCAGAACTTCGGGTACGGTTTGTTGTGGATGTTCTCCCCTGCTGTTGTTGTTGTTGCGTTTGCATTGTTGGTTTCTGATTTGAAGTCATTATTGTTGTCATGTTGGTTAGTTTATTTTAGTATATTTGATATATTTTCTACTTCTTCTTCTTCCTCCTCCTCTTCCTCTTCATCTGTTACCACCTGGGGTGTCATAGATAAATAAGTTTCTGCTTAGTGCTATCCTGACCTCCTCAACCATAGACACATCATTCGGTTTTAGGGTTTCTATGATTTATCTTTCCATTGTGTTCTTGGTCTACCTCATGGTCTTCGTCCATCTCCTCTTGTAGTGTTTTACTCTACAGAACAAAACCGGCAAAACACGCGAGCATCAGGGGAAGGGGGGGGGCGCATCAGGGGGGACACATCAGAGGGAACACATCAGAGGGAACACATCAGGGGGAACACATCAGGGGGAACACATCAGAGGGGACACATCAGAGGGAACACATCAGAGGGAACACATCAGGGGGAACACATCAGGGGGAACACATCAGGGAGAACGCATCAGGGGGACACATCAGAGGGAACACATCAGGGGGAACACATCAGGGGGAACACATCAGAGGGAACACATCAGAGGGAACACATCAGGGGGAACACATCAGAGGGAACACATCAGAGGGAACACATCAGGGGGAACACATCAGGGGGAACACATCAGGGGGAACACATCAAGGGGAACACATCAGGGGGAACACATCAGAGGGAACACATCAGAGGGAACACATCAAGGGGAACACATCAAGGGGAACACATCAGGGGAACACATCAGAGGGAACAAATCAGGGGGAACACATCAGGGGGAACACATCAGAGGGAACACATCAGAGGGAACACATCAGAGGGAACACATCAGGGGGAACACATCAGAGGGAACGCATCAGGGAGAACGCATCAGGGGGACACATCAGGGGGAACACATCAGGGGGAACACATCAGAGGGAACACATCAGGGGGAACACATCAGAGGGAACACATCAGAGGGAACACATCAGAGGGAACACATCAGGGGGAACACATCAGGGGGAACGCTTCAGATGGGACACTTCAGAGGAGACACATCAGAGAGAACACATCAGAGAGAACACATCAGAGAGAACACATCAGGGGGAACACATCAGGGGGAACACATCAGAGGGAACACAACAGGGGGAACACATCAGGGGGAACACATCAGGGGGGACACATCAGGGGAAACACATCAGAGGGAACCAGAGGGAACACATCAGGGGGACACATCAGGGGGACACATCAGGGGGACACATCAGGGGGAACACATCAGGGGGAACACATCAGAGGGAACACATCAGAGGGAACCAGAGGGAACACATCAGGGGGAACGCATCAGAGGAGAATTTTGTTGCAGTATAGTTGTGCTCCTTAATACGAACCACCATTGCTACCCATGTGTCAAAGAAACGCCTACCCTACTACATGTTTGCGAAGAGGGGCACATGGAAGAATTTTTAATGGCATTTAGAGTAAATTAAAGTCATTATTGTTGTCATGTTGGTTAGTTTATTTTAGTATATTTGATATATTTTCTACTTCTTCTTCTTCCTCCTCCTCTTCCTCTTCATCTGTTACCACCTGGGGTGTCATAGATAAATAAGTTTCTGCTTAGTGCTATCCTGACCTCCTCAACCATAGACACATCATTCGGTTTTAGGGTTTCTATGATTTATCTTTCCATTGTGTTCTTGGTCTACCTCATGGTCTTCGTCCATCTCCTCTTGTAGTGTTTTACTCTACAGAACAAAACCGGCAAAACACGCGAGCATCAGGGGAGGGGGGGGGGGCGCATCAGGGGGAGGGACACATCAGAGGGGGGGGGAACACATCAGGGGGAACACATCAGGGGGACATCATCAGGGGGACACATCAGAGGGGGAACACATCAGAGGGAACACATCAGGGGGAACACAACACATCAGGGGGAACACATCAGGGAACGCATCAGGGGAACACATCAGGGGAACACATCAGAGGGAACACATCAGGGGGAACACATCAGAGGGAACACATCAGGGAGGGAACACATCAGGAGGGAACACACATCAGGGGAACACATCAGGGGGAACACATCAGGGGAACACATCAGAGGGGGAACACATCAGGGGGAACACATCAGAGGGACACATCAGAGGGAACACATCAGAGGGGAACACATCAAGGGGGAACACATCAGGGGGAACACATCAGGGGAACACATCAGAGGGAACACATCATCAGGGGGAACACATCAGGGGGAACACATCAGGGGAACACATCAGAGGGAAACACATCAGAGGGAACACATCAGAGGGAACACATCAGAGGGAACACATCAGGGGGAACACATCAGAGGGAACACATCAGGGGGGAATCAGAGGGAACACATCAGAGGGAACACATCAGGGGGGAACACATCAGGGGAACACATCAGGGGGAACACATCAGAGGGAACACATCAGGGGGAACACATCAGGGGGGACACATCAGGGGGAACACATCAGAGGGGAACACACATCAGGGGGAAACACATCAGGGGAACACATCAGGGGGAACACATCAGGGGGAAACACTTCAGGGGGACACATCAGAGGGAACACATCAGAGAACACATCAGGGGAACACAACAGGGGGAACACATCAGGGGAACACATCACATCAGGGGAACACATCAGGGGGAACACACACATCAGGGGGAAACACATCAGAGGGAACACATCAGGGGAACACATCAGGGGGAACACATCAGACACATCAGGGACACACATCAGGGGGAACACATCAGGGGGACACACATCAGAGGGAACCAGAGGGAACACACATCATCAGGGGAACGCATCAGAGGAGAACACATCAGGGGAACGCATCAGAGGAGAATTTTTGTTGCAGTATAGTTGTGCTCCTTAATACGAACCACCATTGCTACCCATGTGTCAAAGAAACGCCTACCCTACTACATGTTTGCGAAGAGGGGCACATGGAAGAATTTTTAATGGAATTTAGAGTAAATTAAAGTGAGTTCATTATAAGTAAACAATTAATAGATAAATAATTTAAAGCATATAGTTCTTGTAAGGATCATATCTTTTATGTTAAATATGTGTTTTTAATAATATAGTTTACTTAGTTATCCGTTAGAGCCTCTGTCAGCATACTCATGAATATTCACGACCACTCCCACATCCTCTCACTCCGGCATTCTTACATTGTAAAGTGAGGAAGCACACAACAGACTGATTGTTCTTCACCATGCCTCTTACCTTATCTTCCACATTTTCTAGTACTACACAAGAAAAGATGTAAACCCGAACGAAAAGTATATAGTACTACACAACGAGGCTGGATCGAATAAAACAATTCCCACTTGGTTGTTTAAACGATAATGTACACCAGACTTGAGTGCTAACAGAATACATCAGTGATGTGTTAGATGATTCAGATCTGGCATCGGGTAATGCTGTTGGATTTCCCTCTGAGATCTTGCAGTAAATATTTGTACCAAACAGAACCACAGCGTTTGTATCACTTAGCGCCTATATTTTTAACATAGCTCATACAGGTTGTATGTTAGCGTCACCATTAGTAGAAATGGAGCTAACACACACGTCTGACAGTTTGTCATTACTGGCGACGTTCGACAGTTTTTGCATACAAAAACTGTCGTTCACACTACTTACTGCGTAGTCGCCTCAGTGCTGAGTAGTTGTTTCTTGAAAATTACGTTTGAATAACTAGGGATACCTAAAAGCAGAAGTCTCTATACACGCCACATCACAGGGAACACTTCTATACACGCCAAGTCACAGGGAACACGTCTATACACGCCAAATCACAGGGAACACGTCTATACATGCCAAATCACAGGGAACACGTCTATACACGCCACATCACAGGGAACTTGTATATACACGCCACATCACAGGGAACACTTCTATACACGCCACATCACAGGGAACACTTCTATACACGCCACATCACAGGGAACACTTCTATACACGCCACATCACAGGGAACACTTCTATATACGCCACATCACAGGGAACACTTCTATACACGCCACATCACAGGGAACACTTCTATACACGCCACATCACAGGGAACACTTCTATAGACGCCAGAGGCACATCGGGCAAATGAGGCTATATAGCAGTGGCTCTCAACCTTCCTAATACGGCGACCCCTGAGACATACTGTTATTTTCGTCGCTACTTCATAACTTCAGTGACTATGTTTTTCGATGGTCTTAGGCTATTCGTGTGGAAGGGTCGTCTGACAGTCAAAGGGCCGCGACCTATAAGTTTAGAACCGCTGCTTTAGAGGCTCATATTTTTTTTTACCTAGATGTGTGATATGGTCAACACAACTCTGACCGTCTTTACTTCCCAGGACTTTACCTGGTACCCATTTAAGGCTGGGTCGATCTGGGAGCCAAGTAAAGTAGATGACCCTTTTCCTCGCCTTCGGGGATTTAGGACAGGACCTATATTTTATAGACCAATCTGCACTCGGTGTGTAATGTGGTCAGCATCACGCCGGCTGCCTTTGCTTCCTCTGGTACCCAAGATCTTGTATGGTAAAAAAATCAGACTGTCTGCGAATTTGAACCCACGACTTTTGGATCCGCAGGCGAGGTTTGAATCAGATTTAGCAAATGCAAATTTGTGTAGTTGCGTGAAAAAATACGTCGTTTAGACCGTTGTAGACTATGAATTTACACTCGCGTCTTTGGCGTCTTGTAGAACAGTGGTTATCATCCTGTGCATCACGACCCCTTTTTGGGGTCAAAGGACCCTTCTACGGGGGTCGCCAAAGAAAAATAATTGTGTTTTTTTGGTCGCCACAACACGAGGAACTGTATGAAGGGGTCGCCAAAACATGAGGAACTGTATGAAGGGGTCCCCACACCACGAGGAACTGTATTAAGGGGTCCCCACACCACGAGGAACTGTATGAAGGGGTCCCCACACCACGAGGAA